GGTGCATTCTCGTGCCATTGAAAGGAACGCGATTTCAGAAAAGAGAGGACATTATGGCCGCAACGACAGCCGAGCTAAACTCCATTTCGAAAGAGGCTTTCTCGGAATGCTTCCAACAATGGCGACACCGCTGGGAGAAATGTGTGGAGTCCCAAGGAGACTACTTTGAGGGTGATTAGGTTTCCAACGCTCCAGGTATGCCAGTTTTTATTCCCCAGCCAAAGGTCGGATACTTTTCTCACAGGCCTCGTATTTGTGGTAAATTTGATCTAAGTAAGAGTTTTTTCTTTCCGATTTGTAAAAAATCCTTATGTGATAGAAAAAAATGAATATTATTTTTGAAATCTGTGAAGCTGAATTATGGAAAATCCATTATTAAAATCAAAACAACTTTTATGAACTTTAAATATGCAGGCCTGTGCAAGTTTTTGTATTCTAAAATGCATCTTTGAAATCTACAAAAATGAATTTGTCTTCCCCTGCACTTGATAATAAATGAGGCTTAGCAATTATGATGCACAGGTGGAAATCAATTTTGTAATATTGTAACTACTAGAAAACAGTTATTCTATATTTTTTATTTATCGTTCTAGGTTCTAATAAAACTAAAACTTAAGCATTTATGAGCAAATAGTAGCAATATATACTCCTGTTCATAAGCACTTACACACCTATGCTGTTAAATTCCAACCACCAGGGAAGGATAACCAACATATAAATACCTACAAAATTTATTGGATTGTTCCAGGATTTGTACAGAGCCATATCATAAATTCTTCCTCACACTGCTTTTACTTTAGACAATTCTCCTTGAAATTACCCTACTGTAAATCCTCTCTCAATGTGTTTTCGGAGCCAGGATTATGTTAAAGTCTGTGGGAATCTCGGCTTATTGCAGATGCACATGCTTGTTTGCTTTTGACAGTGTTGTATTATGGTGTCACATAAACAAACTAATGGCAGGAGCGGTGATTCACTGCTTTATGTTTGGCAGGTTTCTATTTCAGCCATTACTAGTAAAACAAATGTACAAAATAGATGTGAAAAAGTAATAAGTAGAAACCCTCAGAAGTACTATGGAACATCATAGTCTATACTAAAAAGAACAGAACAGTACTACTACTTTTATTTCACACTTTTTTTATGGTGGTTACAAGTGCAGTCAAATTTACAATGTGTATAGAGTTAGGGTAGAGAAAATAAGAGATCAAATATAGTTATAGTGAAAAAGAACATTTGATATTTATTTATGAAGTTTTAGAGATTATGCAAATAAAATTTAATAATTTTTAGATGATGAAAATATTTTAACCATAAAATATAAATCACTTTGCACTTGGAGCAGTCAACCTGACTCCATGTATTCACAGAAAATAATTTAGTAGAAATACTTAAAAACTCTGATTTTTTGTCTACAAAAGACTTGTAATGTTTACTAAAAGCTTGAAAAATTTCACAAAGACATACAAAACATGTTAAAAGTTATAGTATGGAAACTATCATGGTTATTTTTGTGTCACATGGTTGGTGTATCACACAGAGGCAGTAGCAAAAGGGTTAATTAATACACAAGAAGTCATAAAAATGGTAAATGTTGAAAAATCAACGGTCTAGGGTAATACAGAATCTTGAGAAAAATGTGTTCAATTACAAGTACAGCTTACAACAGTTTGTTAACTCTCAAGTTGCAAAGCAAATCTTAGTGCTGCCAACTGTCACTCCAAACACCAAATATAAAAACATGAAATGCAAAGAAAACCCTTTCTTTTACATGTCTTCCTTTTAGTTTAGTCTGAAGAGATGAGGAACATCATACACACACAGTCCAATTGATAAAATTAGGGAAATGGATGTAAAATACTGAAATTTCAAATAGACAATTAATGTGCCATAAACTAGCTATTATTTTTCTAATTTAATTCTCAATTTTAATACCATATTGGAATCAAATATACAGGGAAAGTTATGAAACATTTTAATATTTATACACCAAGTACACCCAAAAACTATCAATAAACACAATTAATTAACCTTAACAAAATGTCTAAAAAAACTGATTGAAATGAAGTGAATTTACCAGTGGAAGTTGACAATAATTCTGTTAAATATTATTAGAGGTGTTCACTATACAAAATGCACATGCTTAAAAAAACATTCAGAGTAGAATATATTGATCAAATGGTGGTCCTTTGTTTAGAGAAATTTCAGTTGTGGGATCATTCAACAAAGTTTGGTGGAATCTCCTTGAAACTATAGTAGTAGTTCATTACATAAAATTGTCATAAACCTTCTGAACTTTTTATAAGGTCAGCCAAACAAGGATGGGAGATCACTACCATAAAGTACATTATCTAAGTTTTAATTCCTTTATTTCAAAAACCTTTAAAAAAATACATACTGACCATTCCCTCATCTGTGTCACTGATGTAAGTAAAAAAAAGCAAAGATCCTAACACTGAGCCCTGAGGTACCCTACTCATGACATTAATCCAGTTTGAATGAACTCTGCTTTCTTCCATCTGACCAGTTTTCTATCGAATGAATTAAACCTATCCCCCACACCTACATATAACTTTTTAACAAGCCTTTTATGTGGCACTTTGTCATATACTTTCTGAAAAACCAGAAACACCAGATCCATACCTGTACCCTCACCTAATAAGCAGTAACCTCTTCAAAGAATGTCAAAAAATCAGTAAGAAAAGATTTTCCCATTGTAAAACCAACTTATAACCCTTTAGCATTTAGGAGAGAGAAAACAAAACAAACTCTTTAAAACACAAAGGCTAAAGAAGTTGTTTACATACTACTGGCCCCATAACCGAATGACAATATCTTATACACTCACCTTTAATATTTTCTGAAAAAATACCATGGGATCAGATCTTTTTATTGTATTAGAGACAAACTGATTACTATATCTAATTTTGGTACACAAGTTCAATTGCAACTTCATGATAAACTCCAATTTCTCAGCACAAAATTCAAGTTTACTCTATAATGTACATGCACTATGTTCCCAACATAATGACTGTTAAAAATGCTAATGTACACATCTATATATGAAGCTTAAAATCTGTTTGCTTGCTTGCTTGCTTGTTTGTCTGCCACATTCACTGTGCAGGTCACACTTCTGCTAGCGGCACTGGTAATTTTATCATTAACATATACATTACACAAATAAATTCTATGCAGACTTGACATTTTTAGGTAAGTTTGAGTTAACATTTAATTTATAACATAGCATTACAGACCTATTCAGTTATAGATCATTAACTATACATCTACTAATACCTCACACACAAAACAAATGTATGCAGAATTAGAATGTCGTGTGTGAAAATGCAAACAATAGGCCTAGCCTATAAAACAAAATTATGCCATCTGCCATAAAATAGAATATATTTAGCCTCACACACAAAAGAAATTTATGTAGTCTACCACAAGATAATTACATTATAATACATATTTTGTAAAATGAGATTAAAGGCAAGTCGGCAAATGTATTTTATTCTACTTTTTTTTTTCTCTGGGTGGTTCAATACCTGTAAGTGAACTTTTTTTTGACACATTATAAAGTACAATGTTGCATTTTGTTTGTAGTATATTTGATACATCAATGTCATAATGTGAATACGGTATGACATTCATAAAAATAAAATAAATTTACATTAAAGCAAATTGAACATAATATTACATACACATTTACATTTGAAATTTTAATATTTGAGGAGGAATGACAGCGGAAGGGGGGGGAATAGAGCTAGGCTTATAGTGTTCACCACAACGGGTATTCAATAATAAAATAATCTAAATATTCTTCATCAGGGCCTGTTTATCCTTATCAGCAAAGGAAAAACAAAAAACATCGTTCATAAGGAAGCCCTGATTTAAAACAGGTTTGTAGTTTATTTTCAAATATCAAACCTATGGCTTTTGACTTTTTTTCATAAATTCAAAAAATATTTTCGACCTATCAAAACATGGAACAGGGAAACAGAGGGAGTAGGTTTTTTCGAAATTCTGGCAATGCCAGGTAATGCTGCTAGTATACTTATAAGTAAATTAAAAATCCATATGAAAAAAGTGAAGTTGCATATCTAGTTGTGTTTTTATACTATTCCATTATTATCTCTCATTTACTTTTTAGCATTTATACCTTGCAAGGCATTTATACATAGTGATGAAAAGGGGTTCTTGTTCATCACTTGCAAGATGAAATATGTACCAGGATAATAACTTTTTTCAGTTAATAATCTTATGCCAAGCCTTGACAAATTCCAGGTGCCATGTCTATATGGCGACTAAAAATTTCAGTGTGGTGACTAGTATATTTTCTCCCATTTTATTCATGCATAGGACTGTGCTAAAGAGAACTCAAATCTAGAACAGTTCTGAACTCTTGGAAGTCTGGAACTATTTTCACATTCTTTCAGTCTATGATTTGCTTTGTTGTAATTAAGAACAAAACTATACAATGGGCTGTCTATGCTCTGCCCACTACGGGGATTGAAACCCAGTGTCTAGTGTTGCAAGTCTGCAGACATACCAATATGCCATTGGGAGGGGCTTTTTAGTCCCAAATCAAACTTTGTTTCTAGGATTTTAATGGTGGATTCTGCACTTATACATAATGATAATATGTACAGTTAGTGATATGAAAGAGAAAAGGAAAAATAAAATATAAACATTTACCTTAAAAAACTTTTGATATTCATTTAGGAAGTTCTAAAGATTATGCAAATAAAACTAGAAAACCGTAAGATGAAGAAAAGTATTTGAATACTTAAAATGAAAATCACCTTGCACTGGAATATTATATCAGTTTATTATGAACTGTGCATGTATATACTCAGAAGGGACCAAAGGCAGTTAGTTCAGGCAATAATATCAAGTGGTTGTTGATATAATATGAACGTTAGCATGCGCTGACTGCTGTGAAAGTAAATAAATATACATTGGTGCTTCAATTACCTGTGCAGGTCCAGGGAAATAAAAAAATTGTGGATAACAGAAACAGCAGATAATCGAGGCACTAATATATCTCACTAGTTAGCCCATTGTTTAATCTTAATAAAACTTTTAATATTTAAGTTCCTTGTTTTAAATTATAATTTTTTTTTGGTCAGTTAATCACATTATCCTGAAAAATTATAAAAGTCTTCACAATCCTAAACATAAAAGCCAAGTGTTGGTCAGTTACAATCGATTTATCTGAATTTTGCAAGTTATACGAGTTTAATTCCACATTTTCTCCTATAATAGTTTCTCCTTTAATTGCCCATTCCCATTTTAGTAGAATTTAATTGCTAAAATATGCATAAATAGATCCTAAATTTCTGCACTTTTTGTACTATAGACACAGAAGTGCTTTCGCACCCTATCAACTCCTGTGAAAAATAAGTCAAAAATTAGTGCAAATCTACACTGGGAATTATTAAGAAAAAGCCTTTGTTAAAACACACTGAATATACCAATTATCTGTAGAGAAGAGGACAATGCATAACTGGGCAACACCCCAACACAACCTGAACATGCATCTGTGGTTAAAAGATGCCTGCCGTGCAAGATAGAACAGCAGACGACAACTGAAGTTGAATGATACCGTTCAAAAATCTTAATGTGTATTTTGTGTGTTTTTGTATACTATGTTTTTAAACATTAATCAAATATTTTATATCCCTGTCTTAACAGCTGAAAATAAAAGATGCAAGGCTAGGCTTTAACCAGCCGACTTATGATTTAAATGCACACCAGATCCTGTATGCAAAAACTCCAGATATCATTAAACACCTGAACTTTTGCAACTAAAATTTATTTCCAAGTGACAGTTTCTCCTAAACATGTAAATTATTGTCTAGAATTATAATAGCACAATTATTTTGAGAAAATCTGGGGAAAAAACAACACCATAATCGAGGCACTAGTGTAGCCCCTATTTCCCTTTACAAACATAGTAAAGTTAGGTTAGGCACACCTGGCTCCTGAGCTTTTGAGTTGGCTCCTAGATCTGAAAATATTTGTCAAAGCCTGTCTTAAGCAAAATTTAGCAGCCACTATTCTGATCAGAAGCAACATTTGCGACAATTCTGGACAGTAGAAAATTGGGTCTCAAAATGTTGCTTTTATTTATTTCTTACAAATATTCTAATAAATTTTGAGAGTATGATAGTCAATTTATATCAATTTACTTAGAATGTACTATTTTATACTAAATTATTACTCAGAATTTCTGTTATCTGGTAAATACCAGTCAAAAGTTATTTGACCAGCAAATACCACAAGTCAATCTAAATTGCTGCAAAACCTCTACGAGGGGCAGATGTCTTGCATATTAAGTTAGGCTGACCTCATTTCTTATTTCACAAAAAAATTTCGATCTTTTGGACCAATATGTCTCACCAGATGGAACTTTTTTTAAAAAAAGAAAAACTAGTTTAAATACTGCAACTTAAATAAAAACTAAACTAGACATCTATCAAAATATAAAATAATTATTTTGCCAATTGTCAAAATAAAAGGCTTTTACTTATACTTCTTAATTTTATAAATATATACTGTGTTGTTGTTGGGCTTAGGATTCTTCTACAGTAGGTGTCTCTGAGTTGTTGATGATAAATAAACAGCACACTATTCACTTGTTTTCAAAATAATATATATAAATTTGGATCAAGTTAAATGTATGAACAATAAATTCTTCACACTGTAGAGATTATAGGCATATCATAGACTATATATATAGTTTTCTTCTTGTCAAAAGTCCACTTAGGCGTATTTAATTACTTTAGAATTTCAGTTGACAAGCCAAACTATCTTCTCTATTACTATTGCACTAGTATTCTGTGTGTGTGATTCACTTACAACTGTGAGCAAGTTACCGTAATAATTTGGTCATCTTTCTGCTAAATATCATCTGTTCCTTTCGTGAAAGTGCACTCAGGCTAATTCAATTACTTTATAACCATACTTTGATGGACTAATTCTTCTTTTTATCTCCTTTTCTACTGTTAGTCTTACTCTAACATATTAAACGTTAGGCTCATCACTACTATGGTAGATAACTTCATGCCAAACTTTTCCTTGGCCACGACTTTCTTCTGCTATTGTCTGTCTGATGTTTTTGGTCGTCTCACACTAGTTATATGTTTATCACTTAATCGTCTGCATGCCTTCTAAAAATCTCTATATTCTCAACGTCAATGCATTGCACACAATGTTCAACAGTCTCAACATCAATGAATTATAAACACAACTTCCAACAATCGTCTGCTTTAACTCTTACTATAACAAAACTAAACAATAATAAAATATTCACCCAAAAAAATTAATTAATCAATAATATCTAAATAGTTTTATATCATGACATAAACCCCCTCTAATAGATAAATATTTATTTATTTTTTTACTATATACAAAAACTTTCCTTAGTTCATCCACAAAGACTGCTCATACAGTCTGCACTAACATTCACAGTTCCTTCATCTCGACCTTAAGTTGCCTGAGTTTGAGCTTTTTGCAGCTATGACACAAAAATATTGTTGGGACAGAACATTTTTTAACAATTAAAAAAAAAAACCTGTCAGAACAAAATGGATTTACCAAAGATTCAGAAAATATGAAGTTTCTTTCTTAGCAGCACATGAAATAGTTTAAAATAGTTTTCAATTACCTTAAGAACTATTGGGCAAAATTGAATTCAAAATTATAAAGTGAAATATGTATACTATAAAAATATATTTCAATAACTTTTGAAAATAATTATTATAAACTGTTAGAGCTGTAACGAAGGGTAGATCTTGACCTCTGAAGGTTCACAATGCATTACCGAATGAAGGTTTGAACCTTTGACAGTACTAATTTTCATAATTTATTGATGACATCACCATAACTACTAGTTTATGTTTGATTGAAAACCCTTTCATTTTACAGGTAATTCATGTAAATGAAATAAAACATTCTCATGTAGTTTCAAGATACATAATCACACTTTTAATTTCAAGTAAAAAATGTCTATGTAAGCTAAAATTGGTCAAAGCACAGGTAGCCCATTATAGCTTTGTATTTGTATTTTCATTACATGGATAGAAGGAATAATCAAAAATAGTAATAATGTTAAATCCTAATTTTGGTTATTCCATATAATAACATTTTGATTAATTAAACCATACCTAATACACAACAATAAATAAACTGAAAAGATTACACTCACAGTTGAATCACAAAAAAATATGGAACTTCAACTATAATTAAATGTTTTTCAATTAAATTTAGTGTCAGCAAATATTTGATGTTTCATAGTTATTTTACCATAACACTTTTACATCTTGTACACTAAGTATTCAGTAAATTTTATTGAAACAATGAATTCACTTATCAAACCCCCGTGTTTCATCAAAATGGTCTGCTTCAATGCATGAAAGGAGTTGCTACTTATAATGTTTTGGAGCTTCTTCTAATATAATTTTTGTAATGGGCATTATACAAATCAAAAGATCAAATTTTTCAATATGAGTGATATTGAACATGTGGTTACTATTTAAACAATGTCAAATGACTTCCATTGAGATAAAATCTGACGAGTCTCTGAATTCCTGACTAGCAAACAAACGTTGATATTTTCCTAACCTGAAAAGGTACTTCTAGTAGATACTCACCTGCTCACACAGAAAGGCTATCTACCTCACACATCTGTTTATGAGATTTTCATGCCACTAGCCTTGAGCCAACTCCAACCTAATTTCACATGTTTTAGTGTGAACTGCACTGGTACGTGATGTCATCATGCAATATAAAGCCTTCCACCAATATGAAAGCAACACACACACCTCCCTCTATGCACTTGTGATAACTTCATTCTTTGATGAGGCAAGAAAAAAATTTGCATCAGAAATGGGGATGTTGGATGGGAATGTATAAGAAGTGAGTATCTATTGGAAATACAGTTTCAGATTAGGAAAATATTAACTTCTAAGACTATAACTCAACTCTACATACAGAAAAGCTAGAATCCCACACTGAATCGATGGAGGGGCTGGTTGAAATTGTACCTAGATGAGATCTCTTCAGAAAGTGCCTGAAAAACCCACAGGTGTGCCCCTGCCATAAGATGCCACACTCCATGAGCTTCTCTTTGGGCATTTTCTAAAGATATCTCATCTAGAAGCTCATGGAGTGTGACATTTTATGGCAGGGGCTCCATAGGGGCACACTTGTGGGAAACCACATCTTGTCTCGACCAAGAAATACTATTTGCTTGGAATGAAAGGGTGGAAAAGGCAAATGAGTCATATGTGTTGCAGAGACAAGAGGAATGAGAACATGACCACCTGAGAAATTGCATATAAGTGGTTGGTGAGTCCAAATGTGTAGTGTGGTTGGGGTACATTCAGACTATACTTTGTGTGCCCACCTCACTCAATTGAACAGATTCCAGTTCCAGAAGGCAGGTACACAAGTTTTGTACCATGTTTTCTGTACATTGTGTTTTTACCTCTACTCAACTGGACAGGCTCTGGGTGAAGGAGAAGAGCATATTAGATATGTATTATAGTTTTGTATAGTGTGTGCTCACCTTAACTCCACTGAACAGATTCTAGCTGCACAAGGAGGGCACTTTAGTTATGCAGTATAGTTTTAAGGAGTGGCCAATACCACATTGACAGTGTCACCACCATCAACTTTTTTCTGTATTACGCTATGTCTAACCAGTGAGGATTCTCCATGGTAGTCCATGAAATGGTGCAGTCTGGATTGTACAGTCGAGTATATATAAAATATACCATGATGATTCCTCGAGTAGTTTTGTGGAACATCCCATATCAACAGTGAGAAATGGTAGACCAGGGTGGATGGTGTGAGCACTTTGTTATCCTGGTTCAATGCAGATTTTGGGTAATTATACCCTGGGAGGCAACACCAACCATCTGGCAGGGTTCTATAAAATTAAAAAGGTGCTCTGAAAATGAAATTGTATATATTTTTTTTAAATACAGTGGGACGATTGAAGAATGTTGACCTGTGGAAGCCAAAATCACCAAGAGACAAAACAGCCAGATGGTGTAAATGACGAGAAACTTGGAGGTTCTCATCCTAAGACCGGAGAAGATGAAATGTAAGAGAATGAGAAAGATGGCAAATTGAGTAGGAAAAAATGTGAATTAGCCTGTGAGCATCCACATCCAGAGAAACATACCAACCAGAGGAGTTGACAGACCCAACTAATAAGGGCATTGGAAAGAGGTCCCTGGAAGAAAAGGGATTCCAGGGTAAGGACAGATTATGGCAGGAATCTCCAAATGTCTGTGATAAAGAACACCAAACAGCCAAAACAGGATACAGGAGCCAATTCAGGTCCAAATGATCATAGGTGAGAGACAGGAGAAAAAGCACAGTAACCTTCCTGAGCAGTCAAAGTCTGAGGAAGGAAAGATCATTCTGGGGAGAGGAGTGTATTAGTGCAGTGAAAGAAGGTGAGGTAAGCATCTATATCATAGACATCAGATAGACAGTAATTGCAGGTGAGGAGGAGGAGGAAATAAGTCTAGAGAGAAAAGTGGTACAAAAGACAAAAGCTCCAAGATCATGCAAAATCACACTAAGGTCTCAATCGCACATGGAAGTCAGGTGAGGAGGATGGGGGAGAATGAATAAACCGAATGGAATACACACCTTGAGGTACTGGGAAAGGAGAAATACCATCAACAAGGCTGCCTGACAACTAATAAGGGCAATGACTGACAAATTATGGACAAACAGCTAGGTGGAAAGACAAAAAGGTGGTTCACAGTACAATGGACAGGAGAAAAGAAGTG